CATGTTTAACCAATCTGATAGCCTTCTCTGATGGAATGACTGGCGAGGTAGGTGATGGGAGAACAGTGGATGTTATCTACCTTGACTTCACTAAGGCTTTTGACATTGTTTCCCGTGACATCCTCATAGACAAGCTGATGAAGTATGGGCTAGATGAGCAGATAGTGAGGTATACTGAAAACTGGCTGAACAGCTGAGCTCAGAGGGTTGTGATCAGTGGCGCAAAGTCTAGCTGGAGGCCAGTAACTAGTGCTGTACCCCAGGGGTCAATACTGGGTTCAATTCTGTTCGACTCCTTTATCAATGATCTGGATGATGGGACTAAGTGCACCTTCAGCAAGTTTGCAAACGTTACGCAACAGGGAGGAGCAGCTGATACACCAGAGGGTTATGCTGCCATTCAGAGGGACCTGGACAGGCTGGAGAGCTGGGCAGAGAGGAACCTCCTGAAGTTCAATAAAGGGCAGTGCAGAGTCCTGCACCTGGGGAGGAATGAGCCCATGCACCAGGACAGGCTGGGGGTTGATCTGCTGGAAAGCAGCTCTGCAGAGAAGGACCTGGGGGTCCTGGTGGACAACAAGTTAAGCATGAGCCAGCAATGTTCCCTTGTGGTGAAGAAGACCAACTGCCTCCTGGGCTGCGTTAGGAAGAGCATTGTCAGCAGGTCACGGGAGGTCATTCTTCCCTTCTGCTCAGCCCTGGTGAGGCCACATCTAGAGTGCTGTGTCTAGTGCTGGGCTCCCCAGTACGAGAGAGATATAGACATACTGGAGCCAGTCCAGTGAAGGGCCGCAAAGATGGTTAAGGGACTGGAGCATCTCTCCTATGTGGAAAGGCTGAGAGAGCTGGGATTGTTTAGCCTGGAAAAGAGGATACAAGGCTCAGGGGGGACCTTATCAATGTGTATAAATACCTAATGGGAAGGTGTAAAGAAGACAGGAGCAGATCCTTCTCCGTGGTGCCCAGTGACAGGACAAGAGGCAGCGGGCACAAGCTGAAACGCAGGAAGTTCCATCCGAACGTAAGGAAAAACTTCTTTCCTGGGAGGGTGGTTGAACGCTGGAACAGGCTGCCCAGAGAGGCTGTGGAGTCTCCATCCTTGGAGATATTCAAAAGTCATCTGGACGTGGTCCTGGGCAAACTGATCGAGGTGACCTAGCTTGAGCAGTGGGGCTGGAACAGATGATCCTTAAAGGTCCCTTCCAACCTCAGCCATTCTGTGATTCTGTGAAAAGCATAATTTGGTTGAAGTGTGGGGAGAGAAAGCGAATATGAATTAGTACATACTGTGCTAATAGTACCTCCCTCTTCTATCCCAGAAATGGCAGGAGGAGCTGCAGGCAGACTGCACTCCCCTTCCTCTCCCCTGCTCTTCTTCAGCAAACTCGTATTTTCAACACAAGCAGTAAGTCTTGGCTGCCCTAATCAGGCAGTTACCTGCAAGACATCTACCTAGAAGGATCCCTGGTACCCTCATATCATCCCTGCAGTGCTGTGAGATTGCTGCATACAGTCATCACTGTGGGCTTTTTTCTAAAATCATTAACATAAAATAGTGAGTTAATTTGGCATATTCCATAATAGCCCAAGAATCGAGCAAACAATCACGATATTGCTTTGACAGGCACGTCACTATGGTCAGGGTACTTTGTACTATCATGGCTGGGTAATGGCTTTGGGGGGGTGCACCTTTTTGTTTGTTTCGTTGTGTTGACTTTAAAGGTCAGTCTCGTGCTCTTATTCAAAAGTCCTACTGTTTACCCTCTTGAAGAATGGGGAGAAATTTGACATCTAAAATATTTATGGGATGGGAAAACATTCATGCTGAATTTAGTAAGAGATGTATTTTGATTCTTCTGTTAGCAAGTACAAGTCATTTGAATACTACTTTGCTAAGTTCTCTGCTTGTTTGTCTCTCTTAGCAAGGAGACACCGTTGCCAGTTTCCATTATAGAGGAGAGATGACAGAAAATTTGACACACTATCATTATGTAAAAGAATACTAGCTCACGCCTTGTTACTGGCAATTACTGTACTTCTAAGAGTAACCTTTTCTTTACCATTAGTGATGATTAAGCCAGATACAAAATATGAGGGAGTTTATATCATGTGTTCTCATAAAATGTGCTTTATCATCCTTCTTAAAAACATCATTGACTAACTGGATCTTTCCACTGCAGTGAACTCATTTAACACCAGCCAGAAAGTCTTATACTATGCCTTTGCTTCGCTCAGTTTGCAGCCACTGCATTTATGTTCTTTTTTTTTTTTTTTGAATAAGTGTGAGCCATACTAGGAACAGACTTGGTCTGAATTTAAAAAGAAGAGTTCTTATAAAGCTGTGGATTATATCCTCTCCTGCAGAGATACAGAGGGCTTTTTTGCAATGAAGTGCAAAAATGTGAAAGACCTACAGGACTTAAGGAAGCTGTGGACAGCCCACACAGCGTGGTTAGCAGAAAGTCCTGCTCCTTTGGGCTTGTGTTGGGAAGGTGGCAATTAAGATAAGATTGCCTGCAAAATCTGTCACCTTTTACTCCATCCATCACCCACAGCAGTGAGGCCACTTTTCCTCCATAGCGGATGCGATGCAATTCCCTTCCCTCTCCCAAAGAAAGGAGAGATGCTTTTCTTCTAGCTGAGCTAGTCGAAGAGTCGTTCCAGTGTGTATACTAATGAGTGGCAGCAATGAGACAAATGATAAACTTCAGGGTTCTTTGGGGGAAAAAAAAGCATTTTTGGAAAATAACTTTGAAAGAAATGTTAAAATGAGAACACTAAGGGGATCAGCATTTAAGGGGACTACATTTAATGTCTGAATTACTTGAAACTGCAATTCGCTTTTATTGGAATCAAGCTTTCCAAGAAAATGGTACTCAAAGCTATTGTACAAGATATTTTTTTAAGTCCTTGTGATTCAAGTACATAAAAAAATGTCGGGAAACATTATGATTTGTTCTCATCTTTCATTTTATTGTTCAAAATCCAAGATAATAAAGCCCTCATTTCACATCTAGAAATACTTGAAATAATACACTCTTCAGGGGAGAAACAGGCTGAACAGTAGTTACACTATTATTTTCGCTAAACCAAATAATAAGCTTTAATAAAAAGCCTCTTCTTAGCAGTTCCATTATTAACATGACCACACTGGTCCTGTAGTATTTTTATTTCTCAAAGACTCTTGATGCTGCTCTTTCCTCAGGAGAGTGCTAATGTATACATTATATAGTTTATGTATATGGCTGACTGACCAAGCAGTTGTGCCTGTCTGCAGAAAGCTGAGTTTTCTACGTCCAGCTGCTTTTTGCGATACGAGGAAGAAGTCTTAGGTATCTGACGCACCTTGGTTGGTTTGGTCAGTCATCCCTGTTTAAGTGCGCAGTTAACTTTCACAACCTTGCTGAAGATACTGTGTACAATGCACCTGAGATTGCAGATGCTTTGAATTTTCTATGTATTTGTTAAGATTAAATGAGATGTTAATACTAAAACAAAGGGGTCACTACTGCTGGGGTAATGTTGCCTGTATGTAACCATGACTGAAATATATACTGAATATTTTGAAGGCAAAAGCTTTTATTTTAATTAATGTTACTGTCTCTATGCATCCCTGTAACAAAGAGACTCAAGACTTTGTGTATTAAAGAGAAGAGGCCCCTGAATCTCTTCCTCTGTGGGTTCAGCATCCTGCAGATCAGAAAGCTTCCACAGTTTGTGCTCAAGTGCCCAGATAGCTTCTTCAAACCAAAATATTTAATCTTTATAGCTGGAACAGAACAGAACACAGGAGACAGGCTTTTTAACGCATTAAAAGAGCTACAAGTCTGTCTTTCTTACCCTAAGGCCTTTGCCCTGTGGTACCGAGGCATAGATGTTTTGCTTCTTCAGATCCTACAGTAGAATCAATGCATTTTATTCTCTACAGAATTTCTTTAGGGAGATTATTTTAGTCTTTTTTTTTTTTTTTAACTGTTACTGTTCTTTTGGATCACTTTGCTCCCAGACTGGCAAAGCCACTTGTGTTAATACTGCTTGTCATCTGTCTGAGGCTGAAGATTGTTACATATTAGCTCACTGTCAGCACCCGATCCTATTTCAATAGTTATTACTTTCTCCCTAGTAATTATTTTAAGCTAGATATTTATCCAGACCTGACTTAGACCACAATTTCAAAACTATTGAATAGGCGTTAACCTCTAAAGCAAGTGAAGACGGTATTAGGAGGAATAAACAAGAGTTAGGACAAGAGTGTATGGTAACCTGTTAATCAGAGCTACCATTTGCAGTAGACAAATGTCTTTAGTTATATGTTGAAAGTGGCATTTTCCCAGGTAAGTGCAAAGGTCTTCTAACAATCTTTCACCTTGTTTATTAGGAAGGTGATTATTTGGAACCAATGAATAGCATAAGTCAACTTTCTAGCCAGCCTGTTATTAATTAAACCGACATATGAATGTATTAAACGTTCTAACTGCCTGGTATAATACAATATCACAGTAACTGCTATTAAAAAATTAACTTCATGTCCTTTACATGACATGAATTTATACAAACTTCAAGGTTACTGGCTCGTATGGTTCTTACTCTGTTACATGTAGCTGAGTGCCAGTAAAAAAGGACTACTCGAAAGTTTCATTATGTTTTGATAAACATCCTGTCTAAGGGCAAAGTGTTTCTCCTAGAATATTATTTATGACTTTTTTTTCCCTTAAGGAAATATCCCATAATAAACTACTGAAAATGTTATTTTTGCAGCAAATGCTGCGTATCAAAGTCACTAGCACTGTGCCTTATCAGTTCACAAGCAGGTTTGAAAGCCACAGGGAGGTTTGTGTAGGGAAAATGTTTTCCATCAAGGCAGATGTCACCAAAAAAAGTCCAAATGCAGGAAGAATTTCCGTAGTTGCTAGGGTTTTTTTTTGTGTGGCATACTGTACCACCATGGAGCTACATGATTGGAAGAAAAAACTTTTCTTTTTTTTCTTGCATAGCGACAGATCTAGCGTATTAAGGAAAACGGACTCAGAACTTGGGCCTGAAGTCAGGAACGCAAGAAGCGATCGCATTTCTTCAGCCATCATCTTAAAGGCCAAAACGGTAAGTGGAAAGACCAGGGCTTGTATCTTAGTAGCTGACTGTATTGTGGCTATTCCTGCGTGGTGGTGGTGGTTAGCTTAAGAGGCATGTTTCCTATACACAAAGTGTTAAAAGTGATCTTAGCAGTTTCATCATCTGAAATTCTGGTGGCCGTGTTTCTCTCCAGAAATGTGTTATCAGAAGGCCATCTATGTACCTATGTAAGCAAAAATATAATCATGACAAAAGAAAAAGGATTAAAGCTTCCGTTCTTTCTATTTGACCTGAACGGAAGGATTTAAAGCTAGGATTTTGAATTTAGGATTGCCAATTCTAACTATATTAGGGAGGGAATGCATCTTTAGTTATTCCTATAAGGCAGTTTTCTGTGTGCCCCTTTGATACAAAGTGTCCACAGCGTAACTCGCAATTGAATCCTTTGCTGGTGTAGTAAAGTGTGTAGATTTATGGGTTACTTTCCGTTGCTTCTTGATTGAGGAAAGTTATTTTCCACTGTCTAGAAGACAAGCGCATTCATTTTAGAAAGCCTAGTCTTTCACTTCAGATTCCTCAATGTAAGCATGCTACAACTGCCCTTATAAAATAGGATTTCCCCTCAAACATGGCAGGAATTTCCCATGTAGACTTTTAATTCCATTAATTAACCAAGCAAAAGCAAATCTCCTGGTCAGAGAAGAAGCCAGCAGAACCTCTTCTATGCTCGACAGCCTTTTTCTGCAGTAACTTTTCCCACAGTTGCTCTCAGAGCAGATGTAAAGAATGATTTATGTTTCCCATTGCTATAATCTAATTTTTTCTATTACTTATCTTTACTCTGTAATACTGCATAATAATCATGTTACTTCATTAAAAGAGAGGTTCAACTTACGCTGCCCAAAATCAAGACGCATCTAAGGAAGAATGAGTACAAAACTTGCCATTTATTTTCTTCAGAGAGTGCATAAGCTATTTAGAGCAACTCAATTTTGTGCTCTTAGCACTTAGGTGGCAGGATTGCTATAATCACTGTTGGGATGAGTACATCCCATGGCAATTCCTATACCATAGCTTAAAGTATGTTAAAAGTATGCTAATCTCTAAAACACCTCCAAAACATCTCCTTCAAGAAGTAACATAGCAATGCATGAAGGAGACCCTTTTCATCCTTTCAGTGGGATGGAGGAAAGGAAAGTTATATTCTTAGGATGACTTTATAACTGAAATGTGCTGTCCCAGACACCACGGGTCTCACTCCCAGGTAAGGTATTTACCTTATGTGGTGATGTCCACTGTGATACAGTGAAGTGGACACTGTGTGTTTCTTCTAGGACAGATCTTCAGGGCTGCTTGCATGCAGAATGGGCAATGGCATATCAGCCTTCCTCAATGGAGACTCCTTTCAAACGTCTAGGAGACAAAAACTATATTAAAATTTTTACTTCTCTCCCTGTCCAAGGGAAAGGTGACAATCTTCGGGCATGCATGCCTATGCTACAAGAGTAGCAGTAGTGTTTTACCCTCTTTCTTCCTCTGCGAGGACATGGAGTGAGATGGTGTCTTTCCCCATATTACAGTTGCATCTTTTGCACTAGCCCTATTTTATTGTATTTTTAAAGGAAAAATCAGAGGAATTACATAACAAAATGACAGATGGTAACACTTCAAGAAATACAGTGACAACTCAGACAGTTAGGTGCTTCTGGATTAGAGTGAATCACCCATGTGCAAATTAAAAATCAGAAGTAACTGCAAATGGCAGCAACAACTTTTCCAGAGCCTATCACAGGTAGATTGTCTTTGATGCCCTGATGGCAGCAGGTGTGCCTGGGAGGAATTCCCACTCACAGTATTTAAAATGTAGTTAATTTGTATTATGATGGAATTACTGGGTGGGCAGTGTGTGGAGGGGGGAAGAGGGGGCACATGTTATTAATACCCTTAAGGTGAACGCATTTAATTTGCCTCTTTCCTTTTAGCATTCACTATTCTAGAAAAATGGAAATGATCAAAAGAGGACTAGGTACTAGATTCTGCTGGACAGCCTGAATTCCTGCCTTTTGGGGGCCATCAAAATTCTGCCATTCAGCCAGAAATGCTATTATAGCCCGTGACCTTTATGCAGCCTCTCAAAATGCGTACTGATGGAACATCAAATCTTGATGAGACTAGAAATGTGGATATTATGTTGGTAATAGGCATCATTAGTTGCAATGTTAAAGCTCTAAATTCACTGAAATTTTAGATACAATTCTGATCATGCCCAGTACAAGTTTGCAAACTCTATTAAAAATGTATTGGAGGTTCTGTGAACAGTACATACTCCATGGCCATAGGCAGAAGAGGCTTGTGGGTAAATATGTGCCAAATAATTGGCTACAGTGTTCAGCTGAATACAGAAAAACTGGAAGTGGTCTTCTGCCAAAGAAATTTGGAAGCCAGCAGATCAATAAATGGCACTCAGGTAGACTATTGTATGTAGTCATTTGTTCCTTACAAATGTTGACAATAAGGAACATTTTAATAATTAGTCAATGTCATAGCCTCCAGAAAAGAAAACATGTGGGCTGAGTTGATCCCTGGTTTAACCACAGTTAAATTTGCCTTTTGCAGTTATTTAAAATATCCTTTAGGGAACAGAAAATTGGGTCTGGCGTTGCATTTATTCAATGACTATGTGTGAATAAACCTTTGTTTCTATTTGTCCTCTAAAGCCTCCTGAAAAACTGGCATAGAAAATAAGAAGTGTTAAAATACACATTGAATCTTTTTATATAAACTTCCCCCAGTTCCTGTTAAATTATTTGTTTTTAATCCAAGTCCAAATTGCAAGAAGTTAGTTTCTGGATCTCTGTTTCTTTCAGCAAATAATGATGTTACTAAAGTTATGCTGGGAAACATACATTTCAGTTTCATACAAGCAGTTTTGCCTGCATCTAAACTTGTATTAACGAGAGTTTTGAGAAATACTCCTGCTAGGTCCTTTACCTTTGTCTGCCAGAAGTTTGTTCAAAAATATCTAGCGGTGGTTTTGCTCATTTGTTGCTCAAAATTGTTTGACCCCTTTTTTCAAATTCATGTCACATCAAGGGTCACTTGAAAGCTGCTTGTTTCAGCTGCGTCCTTGACTCTTCTGTGATGTGTATTAGGAAGCCCAAGTCAGTGTTGCAGCATTTTTGCTCTCTGAGTCTATTATTGAAATGTTTATGGAGAAGTGGAAGAAAATGAGGTTTCAAGAGAAATTCATGAATCCTGATTTCCACACATGTTCCTAAAATACCTCTTTCACAACTTGCCGATACTAAACAAGACACTAGTACAAGCATTCATGGAAGATGAAAGAAAAGCTTAATATCTGAGTTGCCATCCAAACACGTATAAACCTACATTCAACCCTAATCAATGTCAATTGTTGCTTGGTAATCCTTGTCCAGGTTTGATAAGAGCAGTGGTCCTTCAGCCTTTTGATTTCATTGATACACTGATATTTAGGTTCAAATTCTTTTCTTCAATCAGCTACAAATATTTTGAAGAAGATGTTACAACAATGTTATATGGACCTTTTCCCCCTTACTAGGAACTGAAAAAAAAAAAGAAACATGAAGCTGGGCAAGTATATTCATTCTGAAAATCAGGGTTTTGATGTGGCCATTGCAGATTGGGAAAAATAAGCATTTAAATTGCCAACAGTGAAGCAGCTATTCATTTTCAGATCAAAACGGCACCCAATGAAGGCAGTGTATGCTTTCCATTAATTTCAGTATGCATCGAATTGAGTCTTCTGAGCAACCCTTTTCTAAGGGTAACCCTTTTCTAGCTCCACTTCTTTCCTGTACGGATTTCCTGTTGTCTTTAAAGTATATTATGGCTATCTAGACTTGGGATTATATTTGAAATACTCCTGATGGTTTTGAGGGGTTTGCTTTTTTTTGTTTTTAATCTTGTTATATTTTGGTGTATAATTTTAGCCCTTGATGAGCTCTTTTACTTAAAAACGTAAACTTTTGTTGTTGTAGAGAATGTAGCTAGTAGAGTACTACTGTATGCAGAAACACAAGAGGTTGGTCTGAATCACTGAAAATGTACTAACATGATAATTTAAAGGCAAAATGCTTAAAGAGCTGAGATCAGTGAGGCCATATGTAATTGCATCTTGAGTTTACTTTCCAGGGACATGTTTTATGTAATCACAGATAGTATGGTTTGGTCATATTCATTCTTTTGTTAACATGTTGTCTACTGAATGGAAATGAAAATTGACATCAATAGAAAAAACATTTTTCTGGAAAGCTTTCTGATGTTCAAATACAGTGTCAAATGCTGATTTTTGTTGCATACTTTATAAAAGATTTGAAATACGTATTAGCACTGCACTGATCTGACAAAGCCACCTCCTTAAACCCCATAAGACATTTTCTGCTACTAAGACAATTTCTTCTCAGCACCTTGTTAGAGATAATAAGCTATTTTTTTAACAGGCTTTGAATGAGCAAGGCTTCAGTCCTGACTCTTTACAACTCTGATTGTCACCCTTGTGCCTTCTCCCTCAAGGCACCAAAAGTGACCTCCTTACCCATCGGTTTGATCATTCTATAATATCTGACCAAAAAAATAGTGTAGCATGTGCTAAAATATTGTGAAATGTCTTTGAAGTCTGTAATTATTTTCCATCCATTATTTTCAGATACTGACTCTTTTGATCAGATTAGGTTAAACAACTCATTATTGAGTCACTGACTCCTGAAATATCTCTGTATACTTTCTCCCCTTGCCAAGCACTATGTATTTGCATTTCTCATTCTGTGGCATTGAGGAGGGCTTCTCCTAAAAAGAAACTGGATATCTGTTAAAAGAGAGGGTCACTGTTGTGTAAAAACAACAAAACCAATTTTGGCGAATTAAAAAGCATATCAAAGATATATAGCTCTTGGCTTAAATTGTTCAGTGTGGTCTTATGTTCTTCAGAGCAGTTCAGAAAGGAGCTATTTCCTCCTTGTTTTCTAAGTCTGAGCCCCTAAAGATTT